ATCCAGCTGCTTAAAGTCAATGTCGGCTGAGAAAAGAAAGTTGGGTAAAAAGTAAAACCAAAAAGAAACAGAAGATCAGCTCGTTATCAGGAAGTAACAGGAAGAATAAGTTTCCAAGAACAAAACTCAAGAGATGTGGGTCATATGTTAATGAGTTAATCAGTTTGGACTTGGAGAATATAGCGGTTCACAGGTTGAGTCAAGAACAGAGTTTTGCAGGTTTGCAAAAATGTACCTGTGCAGGACTCTTTGCTCCCACCCAGGGCAATCCCTTACGATCTGGGTGTGTGGAGGTGAGGGGGTTCACTGGTTCACTGTGTCCTAACGTAATGTATCCTCCAGGATTTATACAGTTTGAGTTCTTGGAGGAAAAGTTAACCTTTCAGACCGGGTTCATAATGGGTTTCCAGGGTTATATGATCCTGTCATCACACAGTGAGTCTGATGATTGGGTGAAATACCAGTGACATCACAGAATGAAGCTTTCTGAGTTTGTAACTAGAATCCATTTCCCACATCAGGTCTTTCACTTTCACAACCACATTTCAAACAAGCAAAAACATAGTTAAAGGTAAAAATAATGTCTGAACCAGGAAACAAAGATATTGAACCATTCTGGGGTTCGTTCCCCTGCTGCTGACAGCTTGTAACAGGAATAAATAAATGTGCAGGCCAGGTCAGAGTCATGCTGTAGCTCAAACCGCTCCTTTTCAACCATCAACAGAAATTTAAAAAAATAAATAAAAAGATCTGAATATTCCAAGGAAATGTTGTTAAAAAAATCTTGGAAAAACTTCAAAACTCACCGAAAATGTCTCAAAACATTTTCATATAATTGCCAGAGTGTTTCCAAAAAACAAATCCTAAACTGTATTATCAATATTGAATAAATACCACAGAAAAAAACGGAAATTTTCCAGAAATTCCCCAAAATCTAGCATACAAATACTCGATGGTGTAGGTTGACATTAAATACAGGTTTTCATTGATCATTTGATGAGAGCAGAATAACATTTAACATTTCCTGGAAGATTCCAGAGTAATATTGAACTTTTTTTTAAATATCACAAAAAATACCAACAACACAACAACAAAAAAAGTAACTATCCCCCACCCCAATGAACAGCAAATATTTGCAAAAAACCTGGAAAATTTACTATAAAATCACTCAAAACTGACCAGCAATGATCCAGAAACAACTGAAGAAACAGGAACATGTCAGACAAAAATGAATGAAAAGAACCAAACTATTATAGAAAGATTTCCTAAAATAAAAAAAAATTGAAATAGTCCTCAGAAACTTGTGGAAAAGTCCCACATGTATTCCCAACAATTCCAGGATAATTTCAGAAAAAAATCCTAGATAAATTAAAAAGATATTCTAAAACTGTCTTGAGAAGGACTAGAAAAATCTCAACTTAAAAACATTTCCAGACACATTTCTGAAAAAAAAGAAGATCAGAATATTCCAAGAAAATCTTGCTGAAAAACTTCAAAAGGCCCCAAAAATGTCTAAAACATTTTCATAAAATTGCTGGAGTGTTTCCAAGTCCACAGAAATAACAGGTAGCCTAAAAAAACATTTTCCCTAAATTCCCCAAAACATTGAAAGATTTTCCTGACTTTTTAATATTACAATAATTTCCCAATAAGTTTCCAAACAGATCTCAAACTTTTCCAAGATGATTCCTGAAAAAAAAAAAATCCCTGGAAAATGTCCAGACAAACAAAGATCTAGAATTGTGCTAAAAAGAAATTCTTTTTTTTTTAAAAAGCACAGATTACTTAATTTGCTTCATGCTGGTGGTTCTCCCTGTGACAGTAATATTATTTGCATGTTATGTACTCCAGCATACAAATACTCGATGGTGTAGGTTGACATTAAATACAGGTTTTCATTGATCATTTAATGAGAGCAGAATAACATTTAACTGGGCCCTAGTTTTCCTTGATGGTACTTCAGTCGGAATTTAAATGCATTTCCCCAAATATAAGTAGGGTCATAAATAGAAATATTTGTATATACAGATTTTGATTTAAGGACTAGATGCACCTATGTCACACAATAATCAATCAGTGGCTCGAGTGAGGGGCTGCATACCAGGCAGTTTGGGATAAAGAAGGACTTTATTTGAACTGTGAATCAAGCAAAGCTGCTCGAGTGGAGCTCCAGAAAAACATAAATAAGGATAATAGCATAATAGATCCACTTTAAAGGAATCCAGGCACTTTATTTCCAGCTTTTATTGGTCAATAACTTATGTGACAAACGTTCCACCGCTTTTTGCCGAAATAGCAGCAACTATTACTGTGCCAAGTGGAATAAAACCTCATAACACCCAATAACCAGAGCATCAACCAAAATAACTTTTAACAGTGCCAGGTAACACATCATGCCATGGTTGCTTAGCTGGAGTGAACATGGATTATGGCCTCAGGTTCTGTCCTCCATGTGTGTAAGTATTTAAATGCTCATTGGTTTAACTTAAGTGATTATTATAAGAGAGAGCACTGATGTCAGTGTGGGAGAAACATGAAGGAACAGGTAAACGCCCTGTAGGGAGAGGGTAAGAACTTTAAAGCAAATAGGAACAGATATGAACACACACTCTTCTTTATATGATGTTCTATGGCCAGGTACTCATAAATACAGGTTGTTTTCTCTCAGTTAGCGGGGCAGTTTTTAATGCTGCGCTGTGTAACAAGCCACATCTTTATCCTGTTAAACTTTATTAATTTGGCTTCAGCTTTCATCCACAGTTTACAGGGGTTCAGAACGCATGACTCCCAGAGGTAGAGCTTGTTGAACAGGGCTCACCCAATGTTAGCTATGTAAACAGCCATAAACCACACACACACACACACAAACACACACACACACACGCCCGGACGCCCCCTGCCAATATCCCCTCAACCAGTCTGCACATACACACTCACGTCCCACCAG